GGGGGGGGGGGGGGATAGGGCACAAGCGATCAGCGCAACACACCACGCTGATCGCTAACGTCCACCTCACACGCGCTTTCCACCCACCCCCGACCCTCACAACAGCGGCCCAAACAATGAACACGAAAAGTGGCACCTCTTTCTAGAACAACACAAACCCTTTCTCAACAACGGGCGAACAAAGGAAAGGAAAAAACCCGGCAAATTGAAGACAAGACAGGCAAACCTACCTACAATGTACCTACTTCGATGAAATAGCGAGCACAGATATATGTGGCGGATGACGCATACAAACGACGATGCTGCCGTTAGATTGCTTCATGGTAACATCAGTGGTCGATACAGCCCACCCCCCTCACTTGTGACAAGTAGAACCGTCTCTCTGGAACAAGGACCATCTTGCTGCCGGTGGGCTACGGACGGTAGTGCCTTTGTGCCCCCCTTTTCTTGGTCGCGAGATATACGCGACATTCGATTTGGGCCTGGAAAGTGAAGCGATGCCCTCTAGATCTCGCCCCGACCCCCCCACCCGCCCAGCAAAAAACCCTCATACCGTACGTACATCGCTGCTTCCTTGTTTGGCTTCACACGGGGGTGAATGGTCTGCGCTCTAGTGCAATTTCTTACCCTGACTGGGTCCAACAAACACCCCCATCGTACACCACTCAACCACCCACCCTCCTCGGTCAGGTGATTGATAACTCAGACAGACGGAGTGACAGCAGTGGTGAAGAACTCTATAAACACCGACAAGACAAAAAAAAACGAAAAAAAAACGAAAAAAAAACGGAAAAAAAAACAGCAGCACGGCCGCAAAGCCGTTGTCTAGTCTTCTACGGAAATGATCGTCGCCAAGAAGGTTGACCCACCCCCACCCGTCCGTCCCCTCATGCCGCACACAAAAAAAAAAAAGGTGTCCTCCTCCTGACGGCGTTGTTCCCATCGCGGCCTTACTCCGGTAGCGGGAGGCACGACGCAGCTCTTGGACTCCTTCGATGGGATTGGGATGAGGACGTGGTTCGCACACGACCTGCTATCTACCTCCTTCAAAACATGACGCCCTTCTCCAAACCATTTGCTATGTACGCGAGTGCTTTTACCGCATGATTCTAGCTGGGGGGGGGGGGGGCAGAAATAGTGCGCCATCCACCTAACCCATCAGCCAGGGAACAATGGACTATGCAAAGGCGGCACACTCTCTCTACTTAGTGAAAGGGTGCCTGCATCTTCCGTCTATTTTTTGCCTTTTCTAAACTCCCCATCGACTGGCCGGGGGCGGCTCAAATGTCGTTCTCCCTGCCACATGTATCCAACCCCCCCCCCCCGTACGTAATCTTTCTGGGGGGGTTTTTATTATTCCTTAAAACTTTATTGGCCGCTCTCCCCCCGTAAAAAAAAAACTCAAAAAATGTGTGTACATGTGCGTGCAATGCAACTTTAACGTCCTCTACAACCTTGGGTCAGCAAATAAATATCGGCCGCTGCTTGGTCTAAAAATGCCACGACCGAACTCTGACCCAACCAACCCCCCTACAACACGAAACACACCGTCTGTAGCGCAATCAGAGCGCACCTCCGGCACTTCCTCCCTCTCAAATAATACAACAAAAACTGACCCCCCCGCCCCCCACCGACTCAACAGTGCCAATGGGGGCGGGGGCGGTAACAGGTGGCCGTCTGCGTGGCCCCGTCGCCACTTCGAAGCACGACTACTTTGCTGTCCGTCACAGCTCCGTGTCTGCCTCGTTTCCGCTCAGGTAACGGCCGGGAGTACCACTGCCGTCGCCACTGCCGCCGCCCCTGCGGCCGCCGCCGCCACCACCAGCCCAGCCCTCGCCCCCCCACGATACTGCGTCCTCGTCGCCCAAAAGCATAAGCCTCTCGTCAGAAACGACCGCGGTGAGGTTGAACAAGTATTCCGACGGTTCCTCCTCCTGCTGCTGCTGATCACCCTCCGCGGCCGCCCCCACTACGTCGCCTTCGGCAAGCCCTCCAGCTACAGCAGCCGATTCCAAGTGCCCACTCCTACCACCGCTACCTTTGGCGCCATTCCTTCCCCCGTTGACACCGCCACTATCAACGGCGGTGCTGCTCTTGTGGCTGCTGCTCAACCTTCTCCTGCCGCCCCCGCCGCCGGCGCCCACTTCGCTGGAGCCCCCCTGCTGGTGCTTGTGATGCCTCCGGCTGGAGGAGCGCTTAGACCTCGACTTGCTGCTGCGCCCCCCACTCCCGCCCCCGCCCCCGCTCGCCAAGGAAGAATTGTTGCTGCTGATGGTGGTGTAACCCCAAGCCCCGTCTGCGCAGGAAAACGACGACAGAGACCGAGGCGTGGTGCCCGATCCCCCCGACATGCTGCTGGACTTGCCGGACTTGTGGCGGTGGTGCTGTGTGTGCCTCGAGCCTCCCTTTGATCTACTGCTGGTACCGGTGACCGGCGTCATGAGGGCTTCGGTGCCATGGTTTTCCTGGCAGCGAGGCAGAGGATTTCCAACCGGGCGGCGGGATACATGGAGTGAGGGGCGCTGAGGCTGCGGTCGCATACAAGTACTTACTAGAGACATGGAGAAGGGACTCGGTTTTTGGACTGTTTCATACAGGGGATACAGGCAAACCCCTCAACAGCAAACGCCACACCACAAAAACGCCGCGGGCTCAAGGCAAGACGTTTGCGTGCATGCCACCAGCGTTTCAGCCGCCATTTACCCCGTATGCACAGAGAGATGGCTACGCTAGCAGTAACCGCCAGATGGCCATTCGAAACGTCGACACAACCGGTCTCGCAGGCTTACCAGGGACCTCGATCCTCGGTCCGGATTCGGCGGGGCCCCTCCCACCGTCTCCAGCAGGGCCGTGGACACGTCCACGATCTCTCTGAAGTCTGGCCTCTTGAGGGGGTCCTCCTGCCAGCACTTGACCATGAGGTTGCTCCAAGGGCAGCCTTCCGCCGGGAGAAAAAATGGAGGGGTTTCGGTCAGGAGGTGGGGGGGGGAAACATAGGCATAGGCAACCTCAGACACAGTAAGGAGAGGCATGCGAAAATCTTCCATGCAACTATGCTTGCGTGAAGAGGTACTTCGAAGCATGACGTAGAACGAACGCAGAACCGGCTACGAGCAAGGCCGTCAACGCTTTCCGCACGCGAGAAAATCGAGGGTAAATGCTGCATAAGGCACGGGCACGAGGAGGGAGAAGCTTGGGTTAGCCACGTTTTTTTTTGGCAGTGACAGAAGACTACCCGTTTCACCCTATAAAGCGCCGTTTCGTCGCGTTCAACCCGCATGGCGCACACAGTACCCACGAAAAACAAAAAGGGGAGTCAAATAATCGCCGCACCCCGCACGCAACACATCATTCACAGACACTGCCACAGCAAGGAAAAAAAAACAACCTGGCGGATGAGTATGAGGCCACAAGTAGTTCTTTTCGGGTTTTTTTACCTCGGGGAGCCTTTGGACGGAGCCCCTGGTTGGCGACGCGGTCAATAATCTGAGCCGCTGACAGCCCAGAGTACACCTTGGAAGGCGTGAACGGGTGGAAGAGCGCCGGGGGGTCGGGGGCTCAAGAAATCAGACATTTACATTATCCAAATGGAAAGTGGATGCTTGAGTAACACGGCATTGTGTTGGAAAAGCGAATTCAATAGCGCTTCCCTCTGTGTTCGACGAAAAACGCAAAAAAAAATTACAACGGGGTTTAGAGGTGTGTATATCCACCACCCTCCAAGCCGGCGCCTTCTCGCCGAAATCACCCTGCGCTAGCTTAAAAGCACCCAGTCTCAAACGACGAAATGGGGAATATGGCCCAACGTTGGCTTGATGGTCATGCAAAAAGAAAGCAGGACACCCAGACAGAATATAGAAGTTGGTGTAGTCGTAGGGGGGGGGGGGGGGGGGTCTCCGGAGAACTGACTATTATAGCCGCACTTGTTCCCGAGTGGCCAGCTCCCACAGCAGTACCCCGAAGGCGTACACGTCGGCCTTCTCGCTGCTCTTGGCGTCCTTGATCACCTGGCCATCCATGTTCACGATGCACACACAGACGGCGCAGAAGCAGTGGTGCACGCGCAAAACATCGTCAGATATTCCTTGTAACAAGCACGCACACGCTCAAGTATGCCGCCGTGTACTATGTGCGCCACTGGCACACCGCATGACGGTGGTACCGTTTACCGGCCGGGCATGTTTCGCGAAGGGGGTGGTGATACAATCGGGGGGGGGGGGGG